TACATGTGGACGGGGTTTTGTTAAAAATATTTCGGGACTCTATTGCAGCTATATATCGTGATATTTAGACAATCTAAATATCATCTTGAGCTACATGTGGACGGGGTCTCGTTAAAATATTTCGGGACGCTATTGCCGCTATATATCGCGATATTTAGACAATCTAAATGCCATCTAGAGCTAGAATAGGCAGCTACATGTGGACGGGGGTCTTGTTAAAAATACTTCATGACGCTATTGTCACAATGTATCGCGATATTTAGACAATCTAAATTCCGTATAGAGCTAGAACGGACAGCCAGATGTGGACGGCGGTCTTGTTAAAAATATTTCAGGACGCTATTGTCGCAATATGTCGCGATATTTAGACAATATAAATGCCACCTAGAGCTAGAACAGGCAGCTACATGTGGACGGGGTCCTGTTAAAAATATTTCGGGTCTCTGTTGCTGCTATATATCGCGATATTTAGACAATCTAAATATCATCTTGAGCAAGAACAGGCAGCTACATGTGGACGGGGTCTCATTAAGATATTTCGGAACGCTATTGCCGCTATATATCGTGATATTTAGACAATCTAAATGCCATCTAGAGCTAAAACGGACAGCTACATGTGGACAGGGTCTTGTTAAAAATAATTCAGGACGCTATTGTCGCAATATATCGCAATATTTAGACAATCTAAATGCCATCCAGAGCTAAAACGGACAGCTACATGTGGACGGGGTCTTGTTAAAAATATTTCAGGACGCTATTGCCGCTATATATCGCGATATTTAGACAATCTAAATGCCATCTTGAGCTAGAACAGGCAGCTACATGTGGACGGGGTCTTGTTAAAAATATTTCAGGACGCTATTGTCGCAATATATCGCGATATTTAGACAATCTAAATGCCATCTAGAGCTAGAATAGGCAGCTACATGTGGACGGGGTCTTATTATAAATTATTTCGGGACTCTATTGCCGCTATATATCGCGATATTTAGACAATCTAAATATCATCTAGAGCTACAATAGGAAGTTACATGTGAACGGGGTCTTATTATACAATTTTTCGGGACTCTATTGCCGCTATATATCGCGATATTTAGACAATCTAAATATCATCTTGAGCAAGAACAGGCAGCTGCATGTGGGCGGGGTCTTGTTAAAAATATTTCGGGACGCTATTGCCGCTATATATATCGGTATTTAGACAATCTAAATATCATCCAGAGCTAGAATAGACAGCTACATGTGGACAGGATCTTGTTAAAA